TGTAATGACGTGCTTGGATTTACACCAACTCGCAGCATGAACAAGGAAACGTTTCAAACCCAGTAAGATAACCTTGCACCCAACACACAAACCATCCCAGCATTTTATAGGCAGTTTGATTGGATCAGATGGTACAAAACAACCCTATAAAGCTGCAGATACGAGCACTAAAAAAAAAAAAGTGAAATATGCTTTCAAGTTCAGCCCCTCTGGAGACTTACCTCTGTAGTGAACAGCCTCAGTGCAAGCACTGGTAATTCTAGCAACGTGCAAGCACTTTTTTCCTGCAGTTGAGTAGTGCAGACATTAAACAGCTGAGGCTCTACAAACACGCATTACTCAACTCCAGCCCCTTCTCCTCACACTTCAACCCCAATCAGTTTCACCACATCTGCATCTCCTGTTAAGGAGGCCGTCTGGATTCGGTCACAGTAGCTTTGCAAGCGCCACAAGCCTTCCTAGATCATGACTGCACACGAGCACAGGACTCCACTGCTAGCACTAACAGCCTCCGGAGCTACAAGTGTGCATTTGATACTCTGAGACACCTGAACCTCATGGCATGTGCAAGCTGTGCTTCTCAGCATTTCACTTGTGACTGTAACCAGCAGACGCCCCCAGTATCCTATGAAACATTGATAGAGCAGGGATCCGGGGATCACAATTACCAGTGAAATGGGTGATCTGCTAATTATTTCAATAAAAGCAGGCTTTTCCTGGACTAAAAGTCCTGTCAGATCATCACCTCGAGTTCCCATCGAGCCACAAGTGACCCAAAGCCTTTCCCTACCTGAAATAGCTGGGACAGTTGCAGAGGCACCTCTTCAGAGTGCAAGTCTTAAACAGCTTAAAACCAGCAATAAAAAGTAAAATATAAATTTTTATTTAGAATTAAAGCAAATACTTCAGTATCACAAACACAATATTAAACTTCAAGAAATATACTGCTAATTTGGAGGGAGCATTTATTTTTGCACAACCACAACATGCGCACAAATCCAGAAAAAGATGTGGAGTCTGAAATTTTCAACATCTCACCACCAGAGCAGTTGGTCACAACGTTTCATACAAAGTTACATATACTGTAATAGATGTTGACAAAATTTCTACAGAATCATCTTTATAGACAACAAGAAAGCTCTAAGAGGCAAACATTGCAATCTATTCTTCTTCTGATGAGTCTCTCTCAAACGTGTAGGCCATGAAGCAAGCATCTGGTCTCTTGGGGACAAGGGGATGCCCTGGTCTCACAATCTCAAAGCCCAAAAAGCTGAAAGTACGGAGCAATGCAGCTAGGAAAAAAAAAGGAAGACATTTCATCACGTGATTCCGTAACAGAAGCTGAAGCATCCATCAAAACCAACTTCAGGTATTGCATCAGCCTTTTAATGCTGAGTTCACACCTACCTCTATCATCTCTGTTCTTGTGGAAACAAATGAACACATGATCAACTTGAAGCTGTTCTTCAGCAAACTCCAGAAGAACTGCAAAACTGTGAGACAAACACAGGGCACTGAGTGCACACAGGCAAGCACTTCCCTCAGATGTAAGGAGCAAGGCCCTGTGAAACCATCCTCGCTCGTTGTAAGCAGAACTGAAAGTCAGGGGCTGAAGACTGGCACCAGCAAGAAACACCAAGCCAAGGTTCAAACATGGGGCACGAATCTAAGTCATCGTTACACCAAATTTCTGAAGGGAGAACTGCAGAGACAGACTCAGAATGAGGCTTGTTTTCAGTGGATAAAGGCAGCCATCGCTACCAGGAGCCCAGTTTGCCATCACAGATCTTTTAGTTGGTTCTGGCTGACAGAACAGGCAGAGGATGACCTCAAACCATTTGATGCTCTCTTACACGAGTGCCACCAAGTAACCAGACTTCCAATTTTAGAGAAATGGAAAAGACCTTCACGACAATTTATACTGAAGTTGCATTTCATTGCACCCACCTGTCCTTGCTCCCTTCAGGCAGAGCACCACTGGGTATTTCAATATAGAGGTTGTTGTTGTTCAGCACTGCTCTCCAACTAATGTGTTTGGCATCTGTAAGCCTTGACTGGACATTCAGAATTCTTGTCCTGTTATTAGATGTTAGTTCTTCTGTCACATTCAGCCGATTATCCTGCAGAATTAAGAATCGCAACATTACTTCCAGTTCATTCTGGAGACAGGTTAACTTCCATGGAAAGGTTTAAGGCAAAAGAGCCCTCCCACCAACCAGAGGGAGCTGCTAAACAACACTCATACTCACCGAATAAAATAAATTAGCTGAAAGATTGTGATCCCTCTGACTATTCCCTCGCCCACCTGGGATCTTCAGGGGTGGGTGAGGGACATCAGGAGCACCACCGAGGCCCCGGACCCAGGTTACTACAGCAATTGAAGGGAACCCTGGAACTAGAGAAGGATCACAGTCAGAGGTAAGCAAGCGTTAAGAGTCATGAAAATTCTAAGTTTTATAAGCGTTAGATGGCAGTGCTTTTTGATTTTGTTTTCTTAAATAAACCCAGATCAAGGGAACTCCTCCTGCTGCAACCTGGTTGGTAGCAAGACACAGGAACAACCAGGCCAGGCACAGAACATCACCTAAAGTCCAGAGCCAGAAGCACCAGAAAGGCATCACTGGAGTATCTGGATGGAAACATTAGTTTGGAGGGTGAAAATACTCTCAGTTTTTATTTCCTGTATGTTTGACCCAATCTCAAGAAAGGAACCATTTCACTATTGCGTACGTGATGCCACAGACCCCATTTTCTTCCCCATCTTGATCTCTAAGAGATCACAACTGGCCCAGCAAGCTAGAGATCCTTTTCCTTACATACAAGATATGTAACCTTAATTACATTAGAATTTTGCATCAGTGCTTTTAGCTTGATGTCAGATAAGATAGCATTATCTGTGAGACTGTCTCAAGAGCTCCTACGATGCAAAGCTCAGAAAGCAAGCTCTGCTTTCAATGCAAATCCAAATATCTGAAAAATCTAAGAGCCTTCCTGACTTTTAGAGCCTTCTTACATCACTCAGCCACGCCGTGGTACTTTGGGTGAAGGATGTTCTATCAAGACATGAACATTTCTTGTACACACGCTGAGTTCCACCCCATCCATCAGGCTGCATCACTGTGAGCAAGCCTTTACTGTACAAACAGCAGAAGCTGTGCCTGGCCCCTCCCTCTGCACCATCCCTCACCCTGCAGGCTCACTCTTGAGTTGCGTCATCTCAGCAGATGCAGCAATCGAGGCCCTTAGGGAAATTTTCACAATCGTCCTGTCTGTGAGTGCCAGCAGCCATTTGCAAATCAGAATAAACACGTACAAAATAATCCACCATTTTGCACAGTTCACGCGAGTTTAATTTTTTTTTCTTTCTTTTTTTTTTTTTTTAAACGAGCTTGCTTGACATCTGTGATGAATAATCCATACTGTCAAGGCAATGAATGGCCTTATAGGTCTAATATTATATGCTGGAAGCATTAGTAAGCACGGCAGCTATAAAGTTATTAAGGTAAATATAGATGATAATTTGCTCAATCTCAATTAAATAAGGGTTCAATCCACTATTTTAGGACCTCTGGAATACGTTAATAGCAGCCTTACTTCTGAATCACTGCAGATCCCTGTATTCCTCATCAGCCTCAAAATAAACCCTTAAACAAACCTGGGCAGCACTAACCCTTTGTGACCTCACCTTTCACCCCCAAGTATACAACAAAGGCTGTTCACACCTTGCAATTCTGTGTTTTAGTGATGCTCGGGCACATCTACACCGGTTGAAAAAAAAACAAACAAACATTATCACCATTCTGAAGGATAAAAACAGCTTTTGGTGACGTTGTGGAGTTGCTCTCCATCCTGAACCAGCTGCATCCATCGCTTCCCACACAGAGGGCACAGCGATGCTCCTCAGCCTCCACCTCCTAACACCACTCAGCCCAAAGCTCCGCATCCCCAACATCTGCCGGCATTATTTAATCCCCGCTCGACTTTTAAACTACCAGCTCCCATAACGCTCTGCTTTGGGCTCAGCGCCCTCGATTCGTCGTTCTCCAGGAGACCTGCGCTTACATAAGGGGATAACAGCTCGCACTGCATCGCAATGCATCTCCCATCTCCGTCAGGCCCGGTTCCTTTTCCCTGCGGTGCCCCCCGCCCATCCCCCCCCCCCCCTCCCCCCTCCACCCCCCAGCAAACGTGGCACCGAGCCGCGTGGGGCGGGGATGGGGGAGGCGATGCGTGGGGGTGTAACCGCGTTACACGGGCAGCCTTCAGACGCCGAAATAAATACATTTTTCTTTATTGCCTTTTTGTCGTTGTTGTCTTTTTTTGTGGTGTTTGTTGTTTGTTTTTTTTTTCCTCCTTTTCCCCACCCGCCCCCCCTCCCTTGCCTTGTATGAGCGAGGAAGCCGCAGCACCGCCCCGCCCCCACCCGCCCCACAGCACCCCTCCCCCCCCCCCCCCCAACCCTGAGGGGGGGCACCAGGGCGGGCCTTGAGGGAAGGGGAGGGAGGCCCCAACCCCTCACCTGCTCTGTCCGGTACTGAGGCTAAGCACAGCGGGCATGATGGTGCTTTTATTCCCCTCTTTCTCTCTAGCGAAGCAGTGACTGTTGAGTATCCGCTGCAGGGAGGATTTCACCATCCGGCCGCTCTGGTCCGAACCCCGAAACCCTCCGCCGCCCCCCGCCGACCGCTCTCCAGGCACTGCTACACAAAATGGCACCCCGGCCGCAGTGGGTTCTTATATACCCTCGGGAAAGCCACGCCCCCTCCTGTGGTGACGCACCGTTGGCTGGGTCACGCCCCCGGACGGGAGATGACTCTTTGGCAATGGACGGATCAACTGTCCATGATAAAGCCTCGCTTTCTATTGGCTGAAACGAGCGCAGAGGCGGAACGAGAAGCTCTTTCCCTATTGGTGAGCAGCGCGATGCGTTCGCAAAATCGACGGGACGGGGAGGAGGGGCACAGAGGGTTCCGATTGGCTGCGCCAGGCGAGAGTGGGCGGGGCTCGGCTGGGAGCCTTCTACACAGCGCCGTAAGCCCGCACTTCCCTCAGCACCGCAGGTTCGAATCCCGCGTTCCCCGACTGTGCCTCGCTGAGGTAAACTGCGACGGGAGGGCGGGGCTCGGCGCATGCGCGGGAGGAAAGAGCGGGAGTGGCTGCCGCGAGCGCCCCTCAGCGGCGCGCTGTGAAGGCGGGGGCGTCGATCCCACCAATCAATAACCGCCCGCCCCAGGGTAGGGCGGGTTGTCCTGAAAGGGTGACCAAAGTGCTTTCCTGCAGCTCTTTATTTCGTTTGTTGTGCCTGCGTTTGGTCGGTGCTAGGGTCAAGTATTACAAGCAGTTTTTTTCTCAGAGCCGTCCCAAACTTGGCCCCAAATCTCCCCTGCTCCCCGCACGTCTCTTCCAGTACCCCCAGATTCCTCCTTCCTATACACAGATCCTCCCATGTCCCTCACACTCCCCCATTAACACTATGCACCCCATTAACTGTGCCTTCACCCCAATTCTGGGGTCACCCCAACCCTCCCTTCACTCTCCCTGTCCTCAGTCTCCCCCCAAATGCTCCCAGATTCTTCCCTTAACCGTTTATATACCCAAATCCTGCCCCTATTAATCCCTGATATACCCACATTCCTCCCCAATGTCCCTCTGATCTCACAATATGAATCCCCCCATACCTCCCAGATGTCTGTATTCAATTCTTCATTCAGCCCAGGCAATTCCAAGCCTGTTTTATTCCCTTCAGCTATCAAGTTGCTGCGTTTCAGTATTTCCACATTTTTCACCGTGTCTCTTATGCTTATTTGCTTTAAGATATTCCCATCCAAAAGCTCTGAGCTTTTGGGGGTAAAGCATTCATTGGTTCCACTTTGAACAAGAACCGAAATCCTCGCCCTCTGAAACTGCTCTGATTGACTGCAATGGAACAAAGCATATTGCCAAAGAAACCATTGTCTCTTTTCCTGCAGCTTAGATGACAAGCCTGGCATGGTCAGCAGGCAGTGACTGCTCTGGGAGTCATGGCAAGTAAGAAGTACAAGAGAAAAAGCCTTTTCCTGCTGCAGGTAGCTGCTCTTAGCTCCCGGAATACAGAATAACTGTGGTATGAGTGCTTTCATCCTGCTTTCTACATGTTGATTTATGGACGGGAAGCTGATTGCCATTTAATGTATTACCCAGAGACCAACTTGAAACAATAGGATAGCTGCGACTCGGGAAAATTGGGAGCAAATGAAGCACATCAGAGAAGATTTGGCAATTCACGTTTTGTGTGTTGTTTTAGCAAGGCTTTCCTGAATGGAGGGGTGGATCTGTTAGGCTGCCTTAGCGTTTTGTTTTAGGTTTCATTATTTCTAATAATGGTGTTTATTATTTATGTAGTAATCCGACTGTAATTCCTGATAATGGCACAATGTCAAAGGGCTTCATCTTCGCAGCTGCTCCTTGCTTTATTGTGGCACTGGAAACAGCTTTGCTCGCTGGATACCTGTCATCTCAGTGGGCCCTGATTCCATTTTACAGCTGAGTGACCTGGATAACACCAGTGTTCTGCAGTGTGCAAAAAGCCCAATCAACCTGTTTTCTTTTTAAATATTGAATGAGATTAGTTCCAGCTGCAATTTTGCTGAGATAGCCTGACTCTTCCAGTTTAGCAGCGACAATGATTCATGCATCCTCACTGAGAAGGCTCTGACTCAGAATTTCAGGATTAGCAGCTGAGGCACTTTGAGATGTTGCCATCCCCAGCTGTTTTTTACCACTGTTTTGCCATCATTACCCTCCTGTAGCAGAGCAGGCAGAATTAGCTGCTCCAGTCACTTTCCCATTTGGCATCTCTGGCCAAGCCCATCTCATCCCTAGGTTATCTAATAACTGGGCAGTGAACCCAGACAGCTGATGTGCAGGCGTCCATGACTGCTGGGGCACAGCAGCTTTCAACCCAGAGGCCAGATGGGTTCATCCCAAGTCCTCTGCAGTGGCCTCTTTATTCCACTGGCTCTAAATACTGCTTCTCCAAGACACGTTTCAAAGGAACAGAACAGTCTCAGGGCTGGAGGTGCAGCAGGCAGCCTGGGGCAGTTGGTTTGCAGCAGTTCTGAACTGCTTTGCTGAACTCATTGGAGGAGAGCACACAGCGAGTCCCAGTTCTGTGTCTTACACAAACAGGTCACAGCAATTAGGCTGTAAAGTCAGCTGGGAAAATACTCTGTACAGTCTGAGTTACTAAATAACCAGATCTGTTAAGAGAGAAAGTACAGGAGGGGCGATGATGCTGCACTCCAGATCAGGAGTCTGAATTTGAGTAGCTTCAGGTTGAGGAAAACAAGAGTTTTATTTTCCAGAAATTTGCCATTTTTTTTTTTTTTTAACCTCATTCCAGCATGTTTTTCAGTTTCTTTTTATAAGAGAGATGCCAGACAGTAGTCAGAATCCCCAGTTAATGATTCTTTATTTCTACTTTCCCGAATGTCTTAGGATGGAAGAAGAGTTTGTGGCAGCACAGGAATAAGTGAAGTCAAGGTCAAAGTTGGCAGCTGATAGAAGCAGATGTTCGAGCAAGAAATGGATGAGACCAGCAACCAAATGTATTTCCTCTTCATTGTCTGTTTTCAGGCTTGCATGAGTTTGTGATTAGGTGACACAAAGCTAGTGCATAGGAAGCTGTACAGATCCCCAAACACCCTTAGGATTCAAGCATTAATCTTTCTGTGTTGTTTTCTGTTGGTGAGAGGAATGAGCTGCACCCACATGCGTGTGCTGGAGTAGCAGCAAAGCTCCAGTGGAGGTGAATGGAAAAGATTGGTAATGGGCACAGAGCAGAAAACCCCATATATATTCTGCTCAGCTGCATCACGCTGTCATAGCTCCTCTTGGGTGTGGGATAGGAGGTGTTTTTGACATTGAGCAGTGCTGTGGGAATTGATCTGCCTCTGATTTGCTGAGTAGGGAAGTGCAACAGAAAGAAAAACAAGAGCTTTCTTTTAAAGCATGTGCAGTTCTTACATAGCATTACGCACTGAATATCTCCCCAAAAGTAATTAAAAAACCAATATTTTAATAACTGAAGTATCCCAGTGAATAAAAGCCAGTTGTTTTGGTTGCCCTCATTCTCTCTGTTCCAGCAATACAGGCACTGCTCTTACAGCTTTAAGAGTTATCTGGAGATGCAGCCAGGCACCAAAACAGAACAAAATATGACGCAGAGATGTCTGTCATGTTGTGTTTTCACAGAAATCAGTCTATGTGATGACTTCTCCACCCTGTAATTCAGCCTCTTTTTGTCCCAGGATAATTTAAACATTCGTCTTGGTCAGCTCTGTGCGGAGACAGAGTACAGCACAAGTTTATAAGGTTGTGAGCATGAGTTTATCTAAATACAAGGCTTTGTTATTTCTAAACTTTATAAGACCTAAGTCTTATAAAGTGGGGCCACTAAATCTATCCATCTCCTCCTTAGTTCTGATTCATACAGGTAACTCCCAGTTACCTAGTTCTAAATACTCCCCCACTAGCTATGCTCTTTGGTGTGTTAGAATCTATTCTCATCTTTGTGGGCCATGTAATTAGAACACTTTCTCAATCATTTTCATCGGCTTCCCTGTGAGAATGATGTGATTTGAAGGTCAGCTTTTCTGCAGACCCACTTGTGCTGGAAGAAATTCTGCGTGCCACTGCAAAGTGAGGCTGGGATTCCTCAGTGTTCGCCAGCACAGGGAAGAACTTATTTTCCAACATCTGGGTGAGATATTAAACAACAAATGTCTGCACTTCCTACCAAAGAAACTTAGGAACTCTGCATTCTCACTTCATAACAGCCACTATGAAGAGGATTATAAATTGAATGCAGATGAGGTAAGACTTTAAAAATCTCATTATTTGTTTTAAGGGTGTAAACTAACATAGTGTTGGTAGTGATGAGTTTTCTTCTCTAGGTTACCAGGATCAGGCTTAGAAGCACTGCAGTTTAGTTTCTTTGTAAACAATTATAATAATTATTGTAAAAATAATGCAGAGGGGAGCAGCTTGCAGCAAGAATGGGACATGTGGCAGTGAGCAGCAGCCAGGGACACAGCGGCTGTCAGGAACAGCACCTCAACATGGCAGGGAGAGAAGCTGCTTGAGCAGTTTGTCCTTATGGCTCTGTAATTTCAGAGTAATTACTTGATTTTTGGATTATTTTTTTTTCTCCGGGTGCTGCTGCCAATGATGAGCAAATGGTCATGAGGTGTTTAGAGGTAGTTGCACAAGAATAGTGCAAGCCATTGCAACACCTTCCCTTCCACGATCTATTTTCTGTTTCGTTTCCTTTGAGCCAAACGGAGCTCGCAGGGTTTGCCCTCTCCATCCCCACATTAACAAGAGATGATGAAATTCTGGTCCTTCCAAATTGCAGATCCACAGAGGGGAGACAAGAAGCCCCATCTGCCCACATGCACCCTGCCTTTTGGAGTGGCATTCTGCTGTGAGCGCTTTCTTTCTCCTCTGACCCCTTTGGTTGCTGGAGCTTTGCACGCTGGATTTGTTTTTGCTTAACTTCCCTTTTCTCTTGCAGAGCAGTTCTGGTGCTTCTTTCCAGGAAGGGCTGCTTTCACACCCTCTGTGTTGCAAGAGCTGGGCAGGATTGCTTATTTTCCATCGGCTCTTGTTGTGCTTGGATCAGTCAGCCTTAGGGACCGGGAAGCGCACGGTGCGTGCAGCTCAGCTTTTGTAACTGGTAATTTGGTTTGGAAATGTTATCCAAACAAACAGCAGGATGAGAGTTAAGACCTGTGCAGAATCTGCTCCGTCAGAAACGAGTTCAGAGTCAGTTCTGCCTGCCTAAACATTTCGCCCAACAGCTCATTAAAATGGAAATATTCAAAGGAGACTTTTCCCCCCCGATTAGATCGTTCCTTTGATAAGAGCATTAACGAGCATATTTTCCCATAAATAAAATGAACAAGCCTCGAGGGCAGGGAAGGTTGTTTCGCCTGCAATGAGTTATGTGCCACGCTCGTCCTTTTGCTGCTAGGGGAATCACTTTGCCCCTTTGCTGCAGCTGGGAACAGCTCAAGAACAGCCTCAGCACAGCAGAGCTGGCAACGTGGGCTCTCTTCCAGCTGTAGACATCTAGTTCTTGCAGCTTTCTTTCTGGTATAACCCCAAAAGCTGCTCGGAGCACTGCCAGCACCCAGCACAGCCCCTCAGTGACATCGGTGACACAAGAGGAGACAGGCAGTGCTCCTGCCAGCCTGTTTGTTTGAGCTTCACACAGCCTCGTGCTTTCAATCCATGAGCTCCTGTGGTTGAACCAATATTGACTCAGGGCTGTGTGTACAGAGCTGGTCAGCGATTCCCCCAGAGCTGCAGCCGACCGTCGGGCAGCTCAGCAGGATGCTCAGCAGCTCAGGTTGGGGACAGCTGGTAAAGCATGAAAAATGCTCATGAATTTCAGACTGCTGAGCCCATCTTCAGACTTCCAAACCCCAAGTGTGAGGACACACGATGGCACGTGCCATCGAGCCCAGGGTGTCCTCACCCTGTTTGGAAGTCCAAAAGTGATGGTAGCTCTATTATGCCAACAGAATTCCAGTTTTCCTACAGGTTTCCACTGATGGAGCTGCCTTAGGTACACATTAACTTACACTGCCTCCTGCTTGTCATTAATGAGAGCTCCTGGACATGTCCTTGCATCCACCACAGTGCTCTGTGTGTGCTGTGCCTCCCATAGAACCGAGGTTCTGGGAGATAAAGAGGTGCCATAAGGAAAACAGGAAGCCTTGACACGACTGTTCTAATTGGACCAGTCACCCGATTTCTTTCATTTCCTGCTTACTGTGACTTTTACTGATTGGAAAACCTACTGCTCAGGAGTGCATGCAAAGAAAGGGAGCAGCAGTTACAGAAAATAAACTATTTTATATAATAAACAAGGAGTATTTCCAAAATTTGGATTTGGGGTGTTTTAGCCCCTGAAGCTGTGGCTTCTGTTTGTCTCAGTCCTCTCTTGGGTCAATTTCTCTGGCTAATTTTGGGCTGGTTGCTGGGTGTATCTTAATACGTTGCATGCAGCTTGCAGTGTGCCCTGCTGTCACGCAGCGCTGGGTTTCTTCATGTGCAATTTCTTATTCCCTTGGTGTTCCCAGCTGCATCTGCTGCCCTGTGTCACTGGGTGGGGAAACTGAGGCAGGGATGAAGAACTGTGTGGAGGTAAAGCTCCTCCAGCCTCAGTTCCTACAGAAAAATGCACTATTTTGGGCTTTTCATCCTACTGACCTCAGAGTGCCTTTGGAATAAGCAAAATGTTTTCTTGAGCCTCAATTATTTGTCCTTATCTGCCTCAAACCTCACTGATAATCCTCTTTGTTGCCTTTAAAAATATTCCTGGGAGATCATTCTTTGGCAGTGATGGTTATGTGTAGTTCTCTTTTATATTGCACTCAGCTTTTCTTTCAATGGCTTCCTGATGTCTTGCTGCTTGGTATTGTTGGGTGGATGTACTGTGGTTTTAGGATTTGAAATGAGCTCAGAAATACTCTTCCCTGCGGTAAGAGGATGCTTTTTTTCCCATGAAATGTTGCAGAGACGGCCATCAAGTGCTGATTTATTCAAAATTGGGTTTTCTCTTTTCAGTGCTCTCATGGTGATGCAGATTGACATTGCTGCTGCCCGTGCTGCAGCTCAGGCTTTGTCCAGCAGCACCAGTGGGATGCAACAAGGGTGAGTGTTTGCATCACCACCCGTTAAACTCTGAATTTTTACTACAAAGGAATCCACCCCAAAACCATCAGCTCCATGTGGCAGATTGAGCTTATTTGGTTGGTTCAGACCCACTGGAGGATACAGAGACTCTCTCTCCACAGCCCAAACGCTTCTCATAGCGGCGCTGAGACCTTTTTTCCATGACCCCCAGGTATAACAGCTGTGACCCATTTGTTTGGAGGAAGCTGTAAGATTAGGAAAAACAAGCTGTTCTCAATTTTCTTCCCAAATAAGCCATTGTTGTTGCTTTCCAAGCTCCCTGCTCGTTATGATATTTTGTGAAGTTAACAATCTCAAGGCACACAGCAGCTTGTTTCTCTGCTTTAATTTTTTCATCTGGGAAGATGCTGAGAGCCCTCAGCTTGGCTTTATGGAGACACTGAGAACTGAGGCTTCCCCTTGGTGCAGGGTTCAGCTTCCCAATGGGATGCAACACGCAGAGGGGGAGGGCCAGAGGACACCTTCAAAGCCAAACCCAGATATGCTGTTCCCATGTGATCCTGGGGTCCCACTCGCCTCCTTTTGCCTTGTTTTGATGATTATCAGGGAAGCTTCCCTATGCCTTTGCTGCTACAGATGTAAAGCATCAACCCATGACCATGTTAAGTGCCATCACCTCTTAGGCAAAACCCAGCTGTTCGTTTGCTGCCTGTTGTGATGGGAGGTGAAAAAGAACAAGCACACAGGGACCAAAAGCCTGGTTTGTGCACCTGGGAGGTTACAAGTGTGATAATGGGGTTTTGGTGTTATGTTGTATGAAAGGGCTGCTGCAGCTTCAGAACTGGCTGCTGAGGTTTCGTTGGGTCTCAGCTTTGATGTTCAGCTGAAAGCTTTCTTCCGTGCTCTGGCAGAGGGCTGCAAACCAGCTCAGGTCTGAAGCACCGGCTTTGCAACGTTGGGGTGGAAGGAGGTTGGCAAAGCCTCATTCTGCACCACAAAAATGTGGCTCGGAGGTCTCCCACCAGTCTGGGCCTGAGCCTGCCTCGGTTCCATGTGCCCATCTTTGATGAGGAACTTAGAAAATATTTTTTAGTGAAAACTGGTTGCTTTTCATCTTGCTTTGTGCTCAGAGCTGCGTGGACCCTGCAGCCCCCAGGCTTGCTGTGGGCAGCTTTCCAGGCGTGGTGGGTGCAGGGAGCATTGCTCAAGGCAGAGCAGGAGCAAAGCACCAAGAGGGGCTCAAAAACAATGCTTGATGTGTAAGGGCAGCCTCAGCCCTGCTCCTGCTGTTCTGCAGGTCACGGAGGTGGGTGCAAAAGGTTATGCTCTTATTTGGGTGCTGTTGGCCAAGGCAGCGTGCTCTGTGTAGGCTTGGCGCTGGGCAGGGGACATTGGAGGGCTTGAAGGTGATGTCCTCCCTCCTTGCATGGAGGTTTGGGTTTGGGGATGGGGACAATTCTAGGAGTGTGTCTCTGAAAGCAATGAGGATGGAAAGGAGTCAGGGATCACAGAGTCATGAAGGTTGGAAAAGACCTCTTAGATCCTGAACTCCAGCGCATCCCACCATGCCCACTGGCCATGTCCCTCAGTGCCACATCTACGCAGTTCTGACGGTGACCCCACCACTCCCTGGGCAGCTTGTGCCAATTCTTCTCCGCTCTTTGGAGAAGTTGTTCCCCATACCCAGCCTGACTCTCTCCTGGTGCAAAATGAGGTCATCCCCTCTCATCCTATTGCCGTTACCTGGAGCAGAGGCCAACTCCCCCTCACTACAATCTCCTTTCAGGAGCTGTAGGGAGCAATGAGGTCTCTTGAGCCTCCTCTTCCCCAGACTGTCCCGCTCCATCCCCTCAGCCACTCCCCATAAGACCTGAGTAGGAATGGAGAGAAGGATTGTGGTGGGGCTTTGCTTGGTTCGGCACCCCGACTCTCCAGCCTCACGCTCCAGCACCAAGTACCGTAGCTTTCCCCTGAAGCATCCCCACCATCCAACCACGGCCCCAACCCCAAACCAACGCATCTCTTTGGCACACCAGAGCCACTCCAACCGCTCTCCCCTCCTGCCCAGCACTGACTCAGACATCCCCTACGTGCTGTGCAGAGTTTCCTCGCCGTCACCCCGCACCTCGCACTGCAGGGTGCAGCGAGGCCGGGCCGGTCTGTGCATGCAC